GTCACCCAGCCGGCTTTCATGCCTAAGGCGGGACTAGAACTCCCAGTCTCCTGCTGATTGGCCCAAAGTCACCCAGCCGGCTTTCATGCCTAAGATCGGACATCGAGACCCAACATGGCTAAGATCAGACATCAAGATAAAAGCAGGACTAAGATCGGATGTCAAAAACTGGTACAGGCAAGATCAGAGATTGGGGCGATGCGTGATTTATGATGTCTCTTCTTTGTCCTGTCCGATCTTCGCCATGCCTCGTCTCGATGTCAGATTGAATGCCAGCTGTAGTGGGAATTGTAGTTCCACTTCCGTGTGGCGCTGTCTTTTGGGGCTGCTCCCGGCGTCTCATTTTACCCAGGCCTAAACCTTAATGTCTTCTCTTACCTCTGCCCGTTTTTGATACCGCTTTTTCCCTGTCCCCGATCTCGATGTCCGATCTTTGCCGCGCCTGATCCCGTATCTTATCCGTGCCCGTATCTTATCCGTGCTAATCTCCATCCCGGACGGGGGGGGGGGCCTTCTCTCTTCCCGCAGGCTCCCAGCTGGCAGTGTGAACACTGCACTTTCCGCAACAATGGCAGCGGACGGATCTGCGAGATGTGCCACTGCACCAGCCTGCACGGCGATCCCCAGCCCCCCAGCCTCGCCCGGACGGAGAAAGAGGAGGTGGGCAGGCTGAAGCGAGAGGTGGTGGAATCCCCCGGGGAGTCCCAGGGTCTGTGTCGAGCCCCATCGGCCTCGTCCGAGGAAGTAGAGCATCAGAGGCAGGAGAAGCTGCGGGACGACGGGCAGAAGATGGTGGCCATGATCAGGGTGAGTTCTCCCCGCAGCCCCAATCAGTTTTGAACCTCTGTATGCGTCTTCTTCAATTGTAGCCCCCCAGTGATTGTGGGAATTGTAGTTCAGCTCCTGGGCGTGTTATCTTTGGGGGGCCCAGAGGCCTTAGGATATATCGGAAGTCTGCCCAAGCTCTTTTCTTTTTGTCTCGTACACAGATTTTTTGGGGTGTGTGTGTGAAATCTACATTTTTTTACTACCGGTTCTGTGAGCGTGGCTTGGTGGCCGTGGCTTGTAAGAGCCGAGGTGGCACAGTGGTGAAATGCAGCACTGCAGGCTACTTCAGCTGACTGCAGTTCTGCAGTTCGGCTGTTCAAATCTCACCGGCTCAGG